GACCTCAGGAATCGCTCTGGCAGGGCTCAGGGAATCATATGGGGTCCAGGGAATTGAACCCGGGTTAGCGGCAGGCATGTAAGGCAAGTGCCCTACCTGCTATACTATCACTCTGGCCATTGCGTACAAGTTTTTGCAGTGGGACACTGACTTTTCTCTTGTTCTCCTGCTTGCCAACTCACCTTATGCATCTTGGAATTGCCAATTTTTCTTCATATAATCAATTCCGGGGTCTGGAGCAATAGCACAGCGGTAGGGAGTTTGCCTTGCGCGCAGCTCAGCCCGGCTGAGCAGGGTTCTATTCCTCCGCCCCTCTCAGAGAGCCCAGCAAGCTACTGAGAGTATCCCGCCCGCATGGCAAAGCCTGGCAAGCTCCCCGTGTTGTATGCAATATGCCAAACACAGTAACAACAAAGTCTCAAAAATGGAGACATTACTGGGCCCGCTTGAGCAAATCGATGAGCAACAGGAGGACAGTGACAGTAACAGTGACGATCAATTCCATACAAGAACATAGCTACGCACCTCATTTTGTGTTCTAGGAAAGGGCCTCATTTACATGTGAAATCCTCTCTGTTTTTTAAAATAACACATAGATCTTAATAGTAAAGGTGCTGTAGTAATTTCTGTCACACAACATATATGTCTGGCAGGGATGGCACTAGTGGGAAACCACATGCTTCCAATTCATGTGAAAAACAGGTTCAATCCTTAACACCACCACCAAGAGAAAAAATGTGTACACACTTAAATAGGAATGGCTAATGATTTACTTTTAGCCAGGAAAGGGGCCAATAAAACAGTAGACATAAAAAGGGAGTCTTTGGGGGCTGGAGCAATAGCACAGCGGGTAGGGTACTATTGCTTGCACCTGGCCGACCCAGGTTCGATTCCCAGCATCCCATATGGTCCCCTGAGCACCACCAGGAGTAACTCCTAAGTGCAGAGCCAGGAGTAACCCCTGTGCACCAAAAAGGGAAAAAAAAAAAATAAAGGGAGTCTTTGGGATAAAGAGCCACTGCTTTTTATAAATTCTCCTCTGTAGCCCCCAGAAATGTAGCCCATTGAATGAATTGCCACAGGACTTCCATGAATGGATCACAACTTCCACTTGGCCATCAGTCTTTTTCTCCTAAGCTTTAATGAAAAGTAAATACATCCTAGAAATCCCCCCCCCCCCCCATTTGACTTTTCGGTGGCATAGGATTCAGTAGAGAGAGAACACATGCAATTTATATTTAAATGTAGCAAGCTGGGGCTGGAGCAATAGCACAGCAGGTAGGGGGTTTGCCTTGCACGCGGCCCGGCCGACCCGGGTTCGATTCCCAGCATCCCATCTGGTCCCCTGAGCACCGCCAGGAGTAATTCCTGAGTGCATGAGCAAGGAGTAACCTCTGTGCATTGCCGGGTGTGACCAGCAAAAAGCAAAAAAAAAAAAAAACCATAAAATAAAAAAATAAATGTAGCAAGCTAACTTCATCATTACCTGCTGCCTCCGTGCCTCTTGGCCCCTGCCTGTCAGGAAAGTCGCCACTGCATGTTTGTAATATGTTCATGAAGCAAGCTCCTAAAGCATCTTAAAAATCATACATGCCAGGAAATATGCTTAAATAATAGGTCATTTGGTTACACTCTTTTTTTTTTTTTTTTTTTTTTTTGCTTTTTGGGTCACACCCGGCGATGCTCAGGGGTTACTCCTGGCTCATGCACTCAGGAATTGCCCCTGGCGGTGCTCAGGGGACCATATGGGGTGCTGGGAATTGAACCTGTGTCGGTCATGTTGGCTGCGTGCAAGGCAAACGCCCTACCCGCTGTGCTATTGCTCCAGCCCCTGGTTACACTCTTAAGGCTTCATAAAATGATAAATCTTTGGTGTGGTGACTGATGTCTCTGAAATTCTGAGTAGCTTGTGTTAACAATAATTTTTCTCTGCTTTTTTTTTTTTTCACTTCAAGTGCGCTTGCTCTTCTGGCTATAAACTTGTTGCTAGTGTTCTCCTAAGCAAAAACTAAAAATAAAAGCCAGCCATTCCCTTCATCCAAGTCTCCTAGTACATAATATTCTCATGCAGAAACTGGAAGCTTATTCAATCGGATAAAAGTATCATCAATTCACTTCAGTCAATGAAATGTGGAAAGATCTCCAGGCTGATTTCTGGAAAATATCAAAATAGTTGAGTAAGACATTTCTAAGGGCATTAAAAAAAAAAATTTCCTAGATTTGGGGTAAAATTGGGCGCGCGGCTGGGAAGGGCTCCGAGCTGCTTCCAAATGTTTACTTGCTAATTTGTATGTCATCCGTTCAGCAGAGAACAATTAAGTACGAGAGAAAGTAAACCTAGAGATTCCCAGCATCCCCTCTGAGCCACGGCTTCTCATCATCGCAGACCCTAGAGATAAGGCTCTCCAGGACTACCGCAAGAAACTGCTGGAGCACAAGGAGATCGACGGCCGTCTCAAGGAGCTCAGAGAACAATTAAAAGAACTTACCAAACAATATGAAAACTCTGAAAATGACCTGAAGGCCCTACAAAGTGTTGGACAGATTGTTGGTGAAGTACTCAAGCAGTTAACTGAAGAAAAATTCATTGTTAAAGCTACAAATGGACCAAGATATGTTGTGGGTTGTCATGGACAGCTTGACAAAAGTAAGCTGAAGCCTGGAACAAGAGTTGCTTTGGATATGACTACTTTAACTATAATGAGATATTTGCCAAGAGAAGTGGATCCACTGGTTTATAATATGTCTCACGAAGATCCTGGAAATGTTTCTTATTCTGAGATTGGAGGGCTCTCTGAACAGATTCGGGAATTAAGAGAGGTGATAGAGTTACCTCTTACAAACCCAGAATTATTCCAGCGTGTAGGAATAATTCCTCCAAAAGGCTGTTTGTTATATGGGCCACCAGGTACAGGAAAAACACTCTTGGCGCGAGCTGTTGCTAGCCAGCTGGATTGCAATTTCTTAAAGGCTGTATCTAGTTCTATTGTAGACAAGTATATTGGTGAAAGTGCTCGTTTGATCAGAGAAATGTTTAAGTATGCCAGAGATCATCAGCCATGCATCATTTTTATGGATGAAATAGATGCTATTGGTGGACGTCGGTTTTCTGAGGGTACTTCAGCTGATAGAGAGATTCAAAGAACTTTGATGGAGTTACTAAATCAAATGGATGGATTTGACACTCTGCATAGAGTTAAAATGATCATGGCTACAAAGAGACCAGATACATTGGATCCTGCTTTGCTTCGTCCAGGAAGATTAGATAGAAAAATACATATTGATTTACCAAATGAACAAGCAAGATTAGATAAATTGAAAATCCATGCAGGTCCCATTACAAAGCATGGTGAAATAGATTATGAGGCAATCGTGAAACTTTCTGATGGCTTTAATGGAGCAGACCTGAGAAATGTTTGTACTGAAGCAGGTATGTTTGCTGATAATGATTTTGTAGTGCAGGAAGACTTCATGAAAGCAGTCAGAAAAGTGGCTGATTCTAAGAAACTAGAGTCTAAATTGGACTACAAACCTGTGTAATTCATTATAAGGTTATTTTTGATGACTGCATGACAGATGCTGACTTCATGTAAAAATAAAGGAAAATGATGTATGTATTGGCAATGATTTCATTAAAAGTATACGAATAAAAGTATGTATGAATAACATAAAAAAAAAAAGTAAACCCAGAGGGAAAACTGGCAGAAAAATAGAAACGAGTGGCCCCTTATCCAGAATATGAGAAATTAGACACGGAAGACGCCCTTAATTTCAAATTCCGCGCGCAGTGTCGGGATTGGCCACGACCGCAGCGCCGGCCGCGTGATTCCCGCTACAGTCCTTACGTGCATATGAATTCGAATCCTTCTGCCTTTCTAATAATATGTCATGAAATGGAAAGTGATCAAGTTAAATGTTCTATTCCGGTGTATCAAACTGCTCTTTTAAGTAAATACGTGAAACCCTGGCTCAGGGACTCGGAAATTCCGAACGGAACCTTGGGACACGTTGACGATTTTTCAGACCGGGGACTTTGAAAGACACACAAGAAAGGAGGCGTCTCTGACAAGCCTATTCTTGGACAGCAGGCCCTGGGAAGAGTCCCAGCGCCGACTACCGCTTGAATTGCAGTTAAAGTACTTTCCAACAGGACCTAATCAAAGAAACGCAGGACTTGCTTCTTTAGAGCAAATAGCACTTACCCGGCAGGAAATGCTGAGTGCCAGTTCTCTTTAGAAGATTGAGTGGCTCTAAAAAGAGCCTTTGGGGTGACACGGATGGGGCCTAGCGCACCGAGGCAGAGGGCTCACTTGGCGCTGGTGTACTTGGTGACGGCCTTGGTGCCCTCGGACACGGCGTGCTTGGCCAGCTCCCCGGGCAGCAGCAGGCGCACGGCCGTCTGGATCTCCCGCGACGTGATGGTCGAGCGCTTGTTGTAGTGCGCCAGGCGGGACGCCTCGCCGGCGATGCGCTCGAAGATGTCGTTGACGAACGAGTTCATGATGCCCATGGCCTTGGACGAGATGCCCGTGTCGGGGTGCACCTGCTTCAGCACCTTGTACACGTACACCGAGTAGCTCTCCTTGCGGCTGCGCTTGCGCTTCTTGCCGTCCTTCTTCTGCGCCTTGGTCACGGCCTTCTTGGAGCCCTTCTTCGGGGCGGGCGCGGACTTGGAAGGTTCAGGCATGTTCCTGGTAAAACCTGCGGATAGGCAGAGGGGGAAGAAATGTGTGTGAACCTAGAAGCGATCTCTATTCACTGCACGTTTAACAAAGGAGGCAGTGAATAAGCCCTTGTGTCTGATTGGCTGAGAATCCTGAACTCGTCATCCAGTCGCCCAATCAAAGTAAAGTATTTCAAACCCCTGATTTGATTGGTTGACGGTCCGCTGTCTGCTAACCAATAGCACAGTAGCCTTTTCGAGCCCAGTAAAGACTATAAGAATGTAACCCCAGGGCTGCCGAGACGAGTGCTCCTGCGCTTAATTGCTAATTATAATCATGTCTGGACGAGGCAAGCAGGGCGGCAAGGCACGCGCCAAGGCCAAGACCCGCTCCTCCCGAGCCGGATTGCAGTTCCCCGTGGGCCGAGTGCACCGGCTGCTCCGCAAGGGCAACTACTCGGAGCGGGTGGGCGCCGGCGCCCCGGTCTACCTGGCGGCCGTGCTCGAGTACCTGACGGCCGAGATCCTGGAGCTGGCGGGCAACGCGGCCCGCGACAACAAGAAGACGCGCATCATCCCGCGCCACCTGCAGCTGGCCATCCGCAACGACGAGGAGCTCAACAAGCTGCTGGGCAAAGTCACCATCGCGCAGGGCGGCGTCCTGCCCAACATCCAGGCCGTGCTGCTGCCCAAGAAGACCGAGAGCCACCACAAGGCCAAGGGCAAGTAGATGGCTTTCCCATAGTTCGCAGCGTTTTTGCTTCCTGACCAAACCAAAGGCTCTTTTAAGAGCCACCCATCTTGTCACCAAAAGGCTGTATACTCTGATATTAGATGTCGGGATAGTGTTGAGTATAAGTCGTTTAATACTTTGTGCTGAATATAAAAATGCTCTATACAAAGGCATACTCATGAACTCGAATGCTAACCCTCACCCACTTTACTCACAGCCACTTCAAGTCTAATGAAGGAATTTCAGTTTCCATTCGCAGCTGTTTCTCCTAATGATGGAAATGCTAAGCACGTGAAATGAAAAGTACCAAGAAGCCTCATGGGTTCAAGTTTAGACTGCAAGGCTGGAGCAACAGGAATGTTTGTTCATGGTGGGCCCTTGTTTCAACCTGGCATTCCCATCTGGCCACCCACACACCCCAACCACCAGAACCTTGCTTGAGTACCAAGGCTGATCCCTGAGCCAGGAGTTACACCTAGGCACAGCCACATGTGTCCCAAATCACTGGCACCAAAAAACATGCCAATGCTGATTTTGATGCATTACATTCCTAATTATATTGGTTTATCCCATCCCACACTTCTACCAGGAAGAGGCACCATATTCATTACATAACTGGTATGGGGTTTGTATATCAAATCAATTAATGCCTAACTCATGAGCTTGTTTAAAATATAACATTCATGTAAATATAGTTTATGCTGTTGAGTTTATGTTCATGAGAGATAATATAGCAGATTTATTTTTGGTTGCTGCTGGCCCACACCTGATGATGCTCCTGGCTGGGGACTGAACCCAGGTTGAGTGCATGCAAGTTTAGCACCTTACCCATTGTAATATCACTTCAGCCCCATGTGACAGATTTATAGAAGTATTATTTGAACTTTTCTTTCTGGAGTTGGTCTCATTGATTTTTCTCTCCACAAGATCTGGACAATTGGGAAAGCTGTCATTCCCTGATTACCAAATGAAAACTTGCATATGTTCAGATTTCCATCTGTCCTCACTGACAAACCTAGAAACATGAACACACTACTAATTTTGTAATAAAAATCTTTATAAAGTAGGTGATCTATGGGCTGGAGAAATTGTACTGGCCTTGCAAGCAATTGGGGTTTGATTTCCTGTAACCTGATACTGTTCCCCAAGCATTTTAGGACTCCCTGAGCATAGGACCAAGAGTAAGCTTGGAGTACTGCCAGGTGTGACCCAAAAGCAAAGCAAAACAAAACCAAAAATAAAAGGTGTCACTAAAACAAGTAAGTCAAAAGGTAAATGAGGATATTACTTGGAAGAAAATATAAAGCATTGCTAAATATGTAATTTTACCGTAAAATTGGAAAGAGTCATCAACAGCCAAATATTTTGTTTTTCGGCAACATTGTGAAGCTTTGTTGAGAACCCAGATAGGACTACATGCAAGGCAGGTGCCCTTCCTGCTGTACTATTGCGAGGGTCCCTAACTATCTAGTATTTAAATAACTGCTAGTACAAGAAAGGATGTTACTGGGCAGGACAATGGAAGAGTTTTTGTGATTTAGGGGAGCAGTTATTTAAAGAAAAGCAGAGTCTGAGCAAAGTTGTTAAAACGGAAGTGTTCTGAATCAAGGAGCCATGAACAAATGAGATTTCTGTGGTTCCCACAAAATAACTTTTGCCCAATGACTGTTTTATGTGATTTCTATAAATGTAGAATATGGATAAAAAGCTGTTGGTTCAAAAGACTTGATGGAGAGCCAAACAATGCATGGTGAAGATCCTACATGTTCCTAAAATCATCAGAAATGACAGTAGGTACTCGACGGCTGATGCAATAAATATTCTACCCCAAAATGACAGTAAATATCTAATAGGACAAGGTTAAAATAAAAATGGATTTAATATTTTTTAACAGTAACTGTATTAGAAGTAAATATTAGTTATTTTAATGGATAATTTAAAGTCTACTTTTTCTTCAAAGATAGCTAAGGGGTCAATAGTGATAACACAGTCGCTCTGGCCCTTGCCTTGTGAACGGTCTGCCTGGGCGTGATCCCCAGCATCCCATATGGCCCTGTCAGAAGTGACCCCTGAGTGTAGAGCTGGGAGTAAGCTCTAAAAACAGCTGAGGGTGTTTTTTGGGGGAAAAAAAAAAGACTCAAAACAAGCCTTTCTCAATAGGCAAATTATAGGCCAGCATAATCTGATTATCCTATAGAAATGTTCTTATAGTGAATACCAGTGCAGTGGGTAAAAACCTAATTAAATGTGGATAAACTAAAACAAAACTTTAAAAAAAAAAAACCTTGCCACGTAGGATTTCGGTTAAAATTGTATTAAAAATAATTTATAGAGGAACGCCTGGTAAATGTTAAAAATCTCTGTGGAAACTGAGGGAAAATATCAAAGTATTACAAATGATAATATGTAGCATGGTCCAGCATGATATAGGTAGTGGGATAATGGGTTGATTTAAAAGCATGATCACAATAAATAAATAAATACAATTTTAAAATAAAAACAGCATGATCGCATTGAAAAGCAACTATTTAAAACTCAGTACAAGGGAGAAAGCAGTGATCAGTCTGAGGCTAAACATAACCCCAACAGCAGTACAATTTTTTATCTTATTAGTGCTACAATATAAAATATTTTCTATGTCATATAAACTGCAGAGATTGCAAAAACGGTCACATATGCATTAAACAAAATTAAAGAGATACCTCTAACAGTTTCCCAGAATACCAGATACCTCACATCTTTGTGCGGCAAGAAAATGGATTTTATTTCTCATCTCCCTGGATTTTCTGCAATCTGCTCTCAAAAGGAATTCTAAGAGCCTTATTAGGTGGCAAAACAGTTTCTCAAAAGAGAAAAACGACGGAGCGGTTTTTTTTTTTTCTAAATAACTTCCCCTCCCCCACCCGGAGCGATTTCCCGCCTCCCTCCCTGGGGTTCTCAATTCGGTCCGCCAACGGCCTTATAAAGGCCTGCAGCGACGGAGCCCGGCCACTGAGCTCCCGAGACTCACAGTCAGCAGCATGTCCGGACGCGGCAAAGGCGGGAAGGGCCTGGGCAAGGGCGGCGCCAAGCGCCACCGCAAGGTGCTGCGCGACAACATCCAGGGCATCACCAAGCCCGCCATCCGCCGCCTGGCCCGGCGCGGCGGCGTCAAGCGCATCTCGGGGCTCATCTACGAGGAGACCCGCGGGGTGCTCAAGGTCTTCCTGGAGAACGTCATCCGCGACGCCGTCACCTACACCGAGCACGCCAAGCGCAAGACCGTCACGGCCATGGACGTGGTCTACGCGCTCAAGCGCCAGGGCCGCACCCTCTACGGCTTCGGCGGCTAAGCTCGCACCCCATCACCAACCCCCAAAGGCCCTTTTCAGGGCCCCCACTTGATCTGCTAAAGAGCCGCAATGCTGACTTGTCCTCGGGAGCCTCTTGCAGTTTCCCCGCGGTTCCCTTAACGTCCTGGACTTGATTAGGTGCTTCGAAACTGAAAGCTTTCAGGTGGGTCTCGTGCCACGCGCCTAACCGTTTCCTGCAGAAGCCTTTTGCGGGAAGATCACGGGAACGGTAATAGTCTGTAATTTACACAGTACTTAAGCTCACAAACTACAGCTGGCTCTCTGAAACATCGCGCTAAGCAGAGAACTGCACGTCATTGTGTCGTGCAGTTTCACAAGGGATTTTGCTTCTGGTTTAATGTTGGCCCTGTCGGCCTCCCCGGAAAAACAATAAAAGAAATTGAAAATTGGTGTGTGTAAAATTACTACTGCAGGTGAAACCACCAATCTACGTATTCTAAAGCTGACACCCTTAACTGGTTAATGCTCCAGCCGACCTATCTGAAAGTTTTCTGCAGGTCCTAAGCTGTGTGTTCTATTGGTTCCCTGGGAGATGGGCCTAACTGTAGCTGCCTCCTGTAGGACAATGTTTTGAATTGGTTGTACCCACTTAGCTGTAATCCTGTCGGCAATGTTGCCTCAGCCTCGCACCCTACTAACCGCTTGGCACGGCGTGTTGCCTCAGGGGTCTTCTATTTTAAACCCATCCTGCCCAAATCCAGATATCCTCTATCATTTAGTGTTGGGGGTCCACATTCTGCCTGAGGTGTTCAGGATTTATTATTGGCTGTATTCTTAGTTCTGCGAATGCTGGTATCAAACGGTTTAACTGCGTGCACAGCAAGCACCTTAAACCTGTACAATCTGACACCTTTTAACTTTTATTTTTAATGACATGTATGAGGGCTGGTAGAACTGGAGGAGTGTTTGGGCCACACCAGCAGCGCACGGGGCTTCTGGTTCTGCACTCGAGTCACTACTGGCAGGGCCCCATGAACCAGATGTGAAGGGAATCACACCCAGCTTGACCAGGATGATGTAATCAAGGCAAGAACGCAGCATGCTGTATTATCTTTTCAGCCCCCTTAAACTAGTAATTTTTGGCTAGTATTTTGGTATTTTTTTTTCTTTAGAAATCTGCAACTAGAGTCCATCACCAGATATATGAGACATTCGAAACTTTTTGATTCCTTTTTGTAAATATAAGCCCTGATGTTTGAGTAATACAAACTTTTGTAATCTTACTACCAAACCACACATAAATTTTATTTCATAACAATTTGTATTAGAAATTAGCCACACATTGTGAGACCTGTTCTGTTACATAGTGTATATATAATGTGGAAAATAAGGCTGCTCAGAAAAGGGAGCCCTGTGTTAACCAGATAGAATATTATAAATGCTGAATATTTCAACGTTGAATCAAACCTAATCTAATTAACACTAATAAAAAAGACAAATCTTTTGTTGGCAATAATAGCAAGTACTTTATGAAATTCATCAGAAGGCCTTTTGCTGGTCCTCACTATCATCATTCCTGGATAATCCTATCCTTTTTTGTACTGATAATAGTAGTCAATTAACCGGACATGCCATTAACAAATATTTATTCTCTATAAACTTTTCTCTAAAGCCTCCCTCACAAAATACAAGATCTGATATTGAATGTTCCAGAAGCATCAAAATAATGTGTTACGCCATCAATGACTGTATTTTAATATACCAGTTACACAGAGTGATTATAATATACCAGTTAAACACAGGACTGACTGATTTTCAAACCACCCAAGATCAACAAAAGTAAGAAGTAACCACTTGGAACAGAATGAACTCACAGAACTGTGATTAAAGTTACTGTACCTCATACATCCTTATACTTTCAGCTTTTTTTTTTTCTCAAACATATTCTTCCAATTTTAGAAATATATCTTAAGAACTGATAAATTGGCAGGTATTTTTAAGAATCGGGCTATAAGGGCTGGAGAGATAGTACAGGGGATGGGGCACTTGCCTTACATGTGACCCAATTGAATTTGATACCTGGCACCCCCTGTGATCCCTGAGCACAGTCAGGAGTACACCCTGCCTGAGCACTACCAGGTGGAGCCCGAAAAGCAAACCAAAAAGAAGACAGGCCAGAGCACAGGAGCAGGAATTTAGCACCTTGGACACTTGCCTTACACATGATAGACCCAGGTTCGATCCCCAGCATCCCCATATTCCTGCCCCCCCCACCCCGTTTCGCCCCCAGGGTTGATCCCTGAGTGTTGATGAAGGACTAAGCCCTAAGCACTGCCGGATGCCGCCCATAAACAAACATAAGACAGTTGAGGCCAGGCAGAAGGCTCAAAGGACTGGTTGGAGTGCATGTTTCATATTTGGGTTCGATCTCCAGAACCACCAACAGTGACCCCAAGCACAGTACCCAGTGTGGCTAAAATGCAAAAAATAAACCAAAAAGAAGACGGGCGAGAACACAGGGGCAGGAGTACAGCACATTGGGCACTTGCCTTACACATGACAGACCCAGGTCCGATCCCCAGCATCCCCATATTCCATATTCAATCGCTAACACCAGGTCACATGCCTAGTGAGTTCCTTTTGGCACTTGTTTGCAGAAATTTAAGTGAAATCGATCTAGAGAGGGAAAATGTTTCTTTAATATATAGATTGTGTGTTAAGTATATAGAGAAAAAAATGCCAAGCTAAGCTACATTGAATATAGAATTTATGAGGCATGATTTAATATTTCATACAACGCTGAACACTAAATATGCTAAGATACATGAATGCACTCATGATTCACTACAGACTATGTGGTACTTTAATTCGGTCCCCCACTGATAACTATTCTGGCTCCATTATCCTTTAATCAAAAGCAAAATGCATCGCTATCTGGCAAGTAAATTAGTGAACAACACCAATGGAGCAGACATAGGGTATTCTGCTAAAAACAAGAAAGGTCTGCTTCTGTCCTGTGCTTTTTTGGCTGAATTCTGTAACCTTTGAGGGCACTGGCATTTAAAGCTGAAATTCACAAGCTGATATTCAGCATGAAGCCACCTTCCCCATTTTGAAAGAAAAGGTCTGTGGGACCAGTATCATTAGCTGATGTTCCTCATGCCCGTCACTTAACACCTGAAAAGGTAAGAATTTTCAAGGCAATTATTTCCATCTGAAGAGTGTTTGGGGAGGGGGTTGCATATTAAGTTATCTCATTCCTCCACTAAACAAGGTAGCACCTCTGAAATAATCATGCAATTGTTGGCATAATGCTCAGTAGAATATGGCTGCTTAGAATAAGGATTTGCTTGGAGGTCAAACTCTGGTGGAGCAAGCACCAATTTAGACTTCCCACAATTTCACAAGAAAAACTTAAGTTTCTCAGAGGCAGCAGTAACAGACCTGAGGCTGTTATACTTAAGGGTTGACAAGTGACTTAACCACTCGGCACTTTTAGCCACTTCACGAAACCTCACTGCAGCCCTTTGAGCTGGAACCAGTATCATAGTTCCAACAATGTGTGTGTGGGGAAAAACAGTGAAATAAAGGCACCAAAAAACGTGGTTTAAATGAGATAAATAGGGGCTGGAGAGATTGCACAGAAGGTAGGTGTTTGCCTTGCACACAGCCAACCCGGGTTCGATTCCCAGCATCCCATATGGTCCCCTGAGCACCAAGAGGAGTAACTCCTGAGTGCAGGGCCAGGAGTAACCCCGTGTATCGCCAGATGTGACCCAAAAGGCAAATAAAAATTTAAAAAAATTTTTAAAACATGAGATAAATTTGACCCCTAGCCATCTGCCCCAAATGAGCGTGCAAACGTCAACTTGTATTGGTTTGTTTACCAAAAGCACAAATTAAGATACTGTCACGTTGGAGCAGAGAGAACCCACAGCGAAGCGTTTGCCTTGCACCCGGCCGACGTGCTTTCTGGAACCCGCGGAGGTGAAAACCCGCGGGGGGTGATGGATCCCTGAGCTGGAGTTTAGTACAAAGTCACAAAGCTCCCCGCTAATACAAACCCACAAGGCCACTCAAGCAGCCTGGCTTTTCTGGTCTGTGGCAAAAACCTTCCGACATTCTTTCTGCTGCTGCTGCCGCAGCAGGAGCCGCGCCCTGCAAAGTGCTCCCCGGCCTCCGACCCCACCACCGAGCATTTGATGCGAGACCCGTGCCGTGGCTCTTTAGGGATAAAGTGGTGGCCCTGAAAAGGGCCGTGTTGAAGTTTCGAGTGGCACCAAGTGCACTTAGCCGCCGAAGCCGTAGAGGGTGCGGCCCTGGCGCTTGAGCGCGTAGACCACGTCCATGGCCGTGACGGTCTTGCGCTTGGCGTGCTCGGTGTAGGTGACGGCGTCGCGGATGACGTTCTCCAGGAAGACCTTGAGCACCCCGCGGGTCTCCTCGTAGATGAGCCCCGAGATGCGCTTGACGCCGCCGCGCCGGGCCAGGCGGCGGATGGCGGGCTTGGTGATGCCCTGGATGTTGTCGCGGAGCACCTTGCGGTGGCGCTTGGCGCCGCCCTTGCCCAGGCCCTTCCCGCCCTTGCCGCGTCCGGACATGCTGCTGACTGTGAGTCGCGGAAGCTCAGTGGCCGGGCTCCGTCGCTGCAGGCCTTTTATAAGGCTGTTCGCGGACCGAATTGAGAACCCCAAAGACTGAAGGCGGGAAATCGCTCCGGGTGGGGGAAGGGAAGTCTGACGTTTTTTGTTTGTCTTTTTCCATTTCCCGTAGATAGGCATTTTTGTTATTTTAGAAGCGTTTCCCACGCCGACTAACAGAATGTTTATTCATAGTACAGATGTTACTGAATGCGAATGCAAAACATAAATATGGAAAATGCAAAAAAAAAAAAAAAACACATTCTGGTATTTCATGGCATAAGGGTTACTGCTGCCAGCAACTGGGATCATTGAATGAACAGACACGTGCATATAGTTTTTTATTTGTAAAGTGCTCATACAGCTTTGTACTCCTTTCCTTTGTTTTTATTACTGATTTTCATTCCCTTTGAATATTTATTAAGGCTTCATTTTAAACTTTCTACCGCTGATGATTTCCCGGTTTCTCAATCAATATGCATAATGGGAGCGGGTGGGCACACTCCAGAGTGCTTAGCCCCTACTCCTTGCTCTGCGGAGGTCAGGGTGCTCTCGGGGCACCCTCCCCCTCCCCCCATAGCATGGCCCAGGTATCTCTGACCCTGAACGTCGAGACTGTTGTCTCTTATTCTCTATTTTAATGTTATCTTTATTAAAGGGAATCTATTCAAAGTTTAAAACATACAAAATTTCCATGTGTTGGGACTGGAGTGATAGCACAGCGGGTAGGGCATTTGCCTTGTACGCGGCCAACCAGGGTTCGATTCCCAGCATCCCATGTGGTCCTCTGAGCACTGCCAGGAGTAATTCCTGAATGCACAGCCAAGAATAACTCCTGTGCTTTGCTGGGTGTGATGCAAAAAAAAAAAAAGAAAGAAAAATTTTTCTATGTGTCTGTGTAGTATTCCATCATGAACATTTTCAATGCTTGTGTTTTCCTTGAACTCCTATAGTATTTAGTAATGCATTTTCAGGGCTGGGGAGAGGACAGTGTTAGGCCCTTGCCTTGCATCTGCCTAGCCCAGCTTCAATCAATCTCATATACTCCCTCAAGTGCCCCCTACCAGAAGTCCTGAGCACAACTGAGCATGACCCAAACCTCTCTCAAAATGGTATGTACCATTTTTTCTGTTTTAAAGGGAACCTATATATAATTTATTTCCTAAGGACAATCTAAAATTAAATGCTTTGTCATAGAAGATGCAGATTTTAGGGTGTTTGATTAATGTATTTATCATATTCTCCTATATTAAGCACCAAAGTTTCTTATCACATTTTCCTCTGCCCCCATATCCATGAAAGGGTTTTCTGTGGGGTTGGGTGGGCGGTGGGTTGGTTTTCTGGATCACGCTTGGTGGTACTCAGACATCACTCCTTGGGTCCCTCTGAGGATAATTCTGGGGATTTACAAGGGTTGGTAGTATGCAAGATGAAATACCATAACCCCTGTTTTCTCTCCAACTATGTATTTGGATTTTTTTGCCCCCATTTTTGCATTTTGATACTCATAATAAATTACTTTCACCCCACATTCTTAGAAAATTACCAAATTTTGAGGAAGTAAACCTTGAATTTGCCCTTCTTTCATATGTGGCTGGACCCTAGAAACAGTAAAACAGGATTAATCAGAGAAAAAGCAGAGGTGATTCACATGTAGGACACACATCACAAGGAGAAAGCCAACCCAAAATGACAAAGCAGATGCTTTTTGAACTCAGGTCGAACACGCAGTTATTCGACCAAGTGATGCATCTGTACAAAAGTGCCCGTGTTGGAGAATCACAGACCTTCAGGTTCTTTTTGAAAGAAGAAAGAAATTGAAGGCAAGGAACAGAAAAACAAGTGGCTGAATTCTGTAAAAGACCATTTAGGAAAAGGCAGAGGGTGAACTCCCAGATTATGGATGGGGTCTCCTAAAGCAGGATTCCAAAGACCCTTCCTCTTTTATACATGTGGGTGGGGGAGCATTTCTTTATTATGCTCTAAAAATAAAGGCCTCTAAACCAAGGATGTCCACAGGCAGCTGGGCCTGTCATCCAGGTGATCGAGGCTCCACCTATGCCTCCCTAGTGGCCTTATCTTGCCTGGCCCCTGTTGTGTTTCTCTCTCTCTCTCTCTCTCTCTCTCTCTCTCTCTCTCTCTCTCAGGAAAAAGAAAATCTGAAGGCTGCAAAGGCAACAAATTGGGTGGAGGGAACTGACTGCAGTGAGGAATGGTATTGGATTTGTCCATCGTTTTCTGCGGGGCCTCTCCAAACTAATCTGAATCTGTTTCTAGTACTGACCGAATCCATTTTAGACAGCAAGGGGGAAGTTTGTTTGCATTTGGTGCATAATTCCCTTAAGCTCCAAATACAACTTGGTGTCAGAGAAACATAGCTTGGGTTTCCTTCTCAAGATGAAAATAGCTGTCAGTTTAATCAGTATTAGGTTTCTTGTGTACTATTTTTTTTAATTCACTGGCGTTTGGGGGTAGGGGGAAGATGGGGTGGGAGGTGTGTCTTAGCAATAGTACAGCGGGTAGGGAGCTTGCCTTGCAGGCTGCTGACCCAGATCATCTGGGCACCCCATATTTTCCCCCCCAAGCACTGCCTGCAGCAATTCCTGAATGCAGAGCTTGGAGTAAACCTTAAAAATGTAAGGTGTGGCCCCATAACAACAACAAGAAAAACAGGGGCAGATAGGTAGTTTAGGGGCAAAGGCTTGCTGAGAGCCAGTACCAGTTCCCTGAGCACTGCCAGATGCAGTCCCCAGACCCTGACCCCGACCCCCAGTACTTCCGGAGGGTGGCACAGTAGTTTCCAGCACCAGAGCATTAAACCAGGCCCTAGGTCTCCTCCAAAGGTTAATGATCCTGGGAAAGGAATAAAGACCTGGGGCTTCAAGAAAAAAGAACACTTAACCAGTGTGTAAACTTAAAAAGACACACAGTACAGCGGCAGTGGTGGCTCTGTCTCTCCCGCCGCCCGCGTTCGGTAGTCTCACCCTGCTTCCCCCACCCTGGGGAGGTCGATGGAGATGGGCAGGTGAAGGAAGGAAACAAGGGCCGGGCTGGTTGGTCTTGGTTGCAGTTTATTCCAATCCTCTCTCCATCCACTCCTGTCTCTCTCCTCTGCCTCTCCTTCTGCTTCTTCCTCCCCCATGCTACTTCATTCTTCTTCTCCATCCCCCTTCATCCTCCTTCTCTGGAGTCTGGATTCTGATCCTCATCTCCTTTCTCCTCCTTCTGATCCCCCAGCCCACTCTTACAGTACTGTTAAGTCCCAAAGCATGAGGGGTTGGGGTAATAATTACACATAGGTGTGGTCACAATCAATAGGGGTAGAATTCTTTCCCTCAGGGAAAACCACTCCTAGGACAGATCCTCTCTCAGCAGGACGACCCACCCTAGAGCAGAATCCCATGGGTGTGTTTCTCCTCTCCTTGTCCGACAAGCATATAAGCATATATAACATAAATCATTTTGTATGGATACAGTAAGAAATATCTTAAACTTATAGAATTGTTCTCCTAGGGCCATCTCAATCTCAGACTACAGTGCTCAGGCCAGATAGTCTTTCCCACCCCTAGCAGGATCCTAGTCTCATCGTTACTTTTGGATCATGACAGCATTTATCTATGATCAAATTCTTAACTTATAGTTAAGAATCGTGGCACTTTGGCCTGGCCCATTTCGATGCCAGGGTCGCTCACCGCTTGTCCTGGGTCCATTCAGTCCCTCGTCGGGACCCTGCTTTTGGGGTGTTAGGAACTAAGGGCAACTGAGGCTTAAGTCGAGAAAGCAGATGTCCGGGAGTGAATAATATTCAAAGCCAATTAAATCCTAAGTTACAAAGCATAATGTTAACGGTCTTCCTGTATCCAAACAAAAAGGCCATTGCTTTAAAGTAAACTGTTCATAAGGCATAAGGAGAGGAGAAAGGCAATATTTCACTCATACATATAAAATCATAGATTTATGAGGAATCTAACCTTACAAATTAACAGAGTCTGGTTGGGGGGAAGCTGATTAACTGGTTAGGGAGGAGAGCATAGGGAAGAATGTTTACAAATAAACACAATGGAATGGAAGTGCCTCAGGAGCACTGTAATGGGTGTAACCAGATAAACCTAAACTCCTTGTGGAGGAAGGACTAAACACTGTCAATCTACAAACCAGGGGCTGGCCCAAGTCCTGCAGAGGAAAAAAAAACTCTTAAAACAAATGTTTTGTTGCCTTCTTGTTCTTTTCTTGATTCCTTCCCTGTTCCCTTTCTAATGTAAACTTCTTTTAACAGTGTAGATTCCCATCCCTCAAACTTAAACCAGTCCCTTAACTAATTAAAAGACTCAAAATGCCTTGGGTAGGGCATTGAGAGTTAAGACTTTTATCAGAAGTAGTGTTTCTGTTGGAGAAAGCTCTGGATATGGCAGGACAAGCTTCGAATTACAAAGCATGCTGTTCCCCAGAGTCCCCCTACCCATTTCTTAGCTCGGTATAGATCTCATTTTTCCCAGTTGGTTTTAAAATAAATTTGGATTCCACCACCCCCGTGCCATTAAAACTGTTCTTTGCACCTACTGATTTATTGAGTTGATTAACAGGTTGAAAAGAACTGTAAGGGGAAAGGGACAGTTCCCGGCTGTCCCTACAGTTTGTTAATCGGATTAAAAGAAACTTTATGCCAGAGGCATATTCGATTACCTTTCAGTATAAAACTGGGCAATATCTTAATCTAAATCTTTCTCTTTAATGTAAGTCTTAATTCTAAACAAATTTTTTAAATATATATATATACATATATATGAAATCATACAACAATTTTGGTCTCCGAAAGGAAGATTCTAAAGTCTAATAATTACTGAATAATGGGAGTTCTGGGAGTTCTGTATTATTCATGAGCTCCTTGGGTCACACCCAGTTTATGCTTAGAAGACTCGGGCAAAAGGCTGGTTCTGAGAAGAGCAAAGGTCAGGCTTTGGAAAAGCAAAAATAACCCCACTCCGAAATATAAATGAGCTAAAAATCAATCCGAGTTATATATTCTACAGATTTTGAGTACAATCTAACTTCTCCCTGAATAGAGGCTTGCCAGGTCTTTTCAGGTCTTCAAAACTCCTAGCTAGTGGCTGGAGCCCTCTCATCCTGCTTGATATATCCAGCAACTGTCAGTAGACAAGCCCTGGACAGGACAGTGTATACCCACCAGCTTCTAGCAGCGCAATCCTCCACTGTAGGATGCCTTCCAGAACAGGGAGGCTTTTTTTGTTCACACCAATTATCTTTTAAATTCCCACACTCCTTTTCTTTTGGACTGGTACTGCAGTAACAGTTCTTAGCATCTTGTAAGGTACCCATGAAAGCAAGAAACAATGCATGGATTTTAAAGTTCTAAATTGGCCTTAAGAATTATAATATATTGTACCGGCCACATTTGTACTTTTCTGTAGGTTTTCCAATCTCTTACTCACAAATAAATGCAGAAAACTTCCCCACGTGCGTAAGTTTCCTCCAACTTATAACAACCTCCAGCTAGACAGATCTACTATTTTGGTTTACCTATAAAACCAGCCAGATCTGGCAGATGCTGTTCTACAAAAACTTTAAAGCAGAAATTTAAAAGGTTATACTCTTAATTTAAAAAATACAAGCATCTAAATATTCACTTCCTACATATTACTAGAGGGATTTGAGACCTAATTTTTAAATGGGAAGTGAACTAAGGATTTTTAAGGTTAAGACCGTTTCCAATAACCATGTGTTAAAGGATCAATCCTTAAGTCTCTTCCAACATAAAGCTAATTTCAAAATATAAAAATACATCATTATTAGGATTAATACAAAAACTATGACCCAAAAACAAACTGCATAGAATTAGAGCTTGTGTTTATATAAGTAAAATCTTTCTAGAATGGCCCCTCTTGATTGTACAAACCAAAAGTTACATAAGACTCACAAGGAAATAAAAAGGACTTTGAGAAAACACAAGATACATCCAAAGCAATTAACATGCTCTCTTTTTGAAATAGTAAGTGGCTCTGAAAAGAGCCTTTGAGTTCACTACCAGACGGTGGAGGCAGAAGGATCTACTTGGAGCTGGTGTACTTGGTGACGGCCTTGGTGCCCTCGGACACGGCGTGCTTGGCCAGCTCCCCGGGCAGCAGCAGGCGCACGGCCGTCTGGATCTCCCGCGACGTGATGGTCGAGCGCTTGTTGTAGTGCGCCAGGCGGGACGCCTCGCCGGCGATGCGCTCGAAGATGTCGTTGACGAACGAGTTCATGATGCCCATGGCCTTGGACGAGATGCCCGTGTCGGGGTGCACCTGCTTCAGCACCTTGTACACGTACACCGAGTAGCTCTCCTTGCGGCTGCGCTTGCGCTTCTTGCCGTCCTTCTTCTGCGCCTTGGTCACGGCCTTCTTGGAGCCCTTTTTCGGGGCGGGCGCGGACTTGGCGGGCTCAGGCATGATGCGCAGCTCTGGCTCTGCAGCGGTGAGACGCCAGCGGAGCGGGCACCTCCTTTAGTACAAGGTGCTATGCAAATAAGGTGAGGGGAGACCCTCTGCCGATTGGTCGGTTTCTTTTGTGACGACACAAACGCTTTCACCCAATCGAAGCGCGCGGTCTCCGGGCTCGCGTTTTCATAGGACCAAATGAAAATGACCTCTCGGCCAATCGGACGGCTTCCTTTTCGCGCTCAACAAGGCCTATAAAAACTTAGTGTCGCGGGGTCCTTTCCGTGGCTTTGAACAAGCTAAACGCATCGCTGAACATGTCTGGACGCGGCAAGCAGGGCGGCAAGGCGCGCGCCAAGGCCAAGACCCGCTCTTCTCGGGCCGGCCTGCAGTTTCCCGTGGGCCGCGTGCACCGGCTGCTCCGCAAAGGTAACTACGCCGAGCGGGTGGGCGCCGGCGCCCCGGTCTACCTGGCGGCCGTGCTCGAGTACCTGACGGCCGAGATCCTGGAGCTGGCGGGCAACGCGGCCCGCGACAACAAGAAGACGCGCATCATCCCGCGCCACCTGCAGCTGGCCATCCGCAACGACGAGGAGCTCAACAAGCTGCTGGGCAAAGTCACCATCGCGCAGGGTGGTGTCCTGCCCAACATCCAGGCTGTGCTGCTGCCCAAGAAGACCGAGAGTCACCACAAGGCTAAATAATCTCTAAATCCTTAAGGCCCACACAAAAGGCTCTTTTCAGAGCCACTTATATAATCACAAAAAGGTGACACGGGCTTTCAACAAGTTCCTTGGCAACTTGTGAAAGTCAAAGTGGATGAATCTTCAGTATAATGTTCTTAAGCCTGAAGTTTGTTCTCCAACTTGAGGCTAATATGATAGATCCAGTCATGAGGTTACGCAGAAGCCCTTGCTTTCCCTTACATCTAGAGCTAGAATATAGATGTTTAGGGTGCTTACTTACACAGCTAGTTTTGATCCCTAACAGTACAGCCAGGATAGCTACTGATTAATGTGGCTCCCAAGCTAAATAAACTCAAGTGTATGAAAAAAAAAAAATGAAGGTTTCGGAAGGGCTGTCATGGCAACTGAATTTTGCACAAGTTTATCAGTTTGTCCTTATTAAAACAAGGCCCTCTGGGGCAACCTTATGCAATTGTTTTTCAGATTTTCCGTGTATTCCTTTCTGCAATGACCTGCCATTAAACATTGGCCTTCCCAGGGTATAAATGGGAAGCAGTATATTTTCCACATGACTACACTAGTTTATCTATTACTTGAATAGTTAAGTTCCAAACTGCCAAGAATGAAGATAAATTGTGGGTGCCCTGAAACAGCACTTAACCTGAACATCTTCAACAACCAGTATAGGACATGGACATAAGGATATCCCGACCTTCACCAGATATAACTCAAAATGACTAGAAGCGGTTACCTCATCCCTCCGTTTATCACATACACTCCCAGAAATGCTTTCTTTAGCCACGTGAAGTATTTACAGTATGAAGTAACAGTTCTTTTACGTGCGAAAGTGGTGGCTCTGAAAAGAGCCTTTATGATTTAGTTTTGAGCTTAGGCCCGCTCCCCGCGGATGCGGCGCGCCAGCTGGATGTCCTTGGGCATGATGGTGACGCGCTTGGCGTGGATGGCGCAGAGGTTGGTGTCCTCGAAGAGCCCCACCAGGTAGGCCTCGCAGGCCTCCTGCAGCGCCATGACGGCCGAGCTCTGGAAGCGCAGGTCGGTCTTGAAGTCCTGCGCGATCTCGCGCACCAGCCGCTGGAACGGCAGCTTGCGGATGAGCAGCTCGGTGGACTTCTGGTAGCGGCGGATCTCGCGCAGCGCCACGGTGCCGGGCCGGTAGCGGTGCGGCTTCTTGACGCCGCCCGTGGCCGGCGCGCTCTTGCGGGCCGCCTTGGTGGCCAGCTGCTTGCGGGGCGCCTTCCCGCCCGTCGACTTGCGAGCCGTCTGCTTAGTCCGAGCCATCGCTTCACTTACACGGTTTTCAGAGCGCGCCCGCACCCATTTATAATGCATGTTAGAAGCTGATTGGACAAGACGCAAGGCCCACCCAACCTCTAACTGGATTGGTTAAACAAGCAAGATGGTATTTCCGCTGTGCTCAAATCCCCATACTGTTCTTCATATCAATATTTTCATTCTATTTTTCTGTAAGTTGACTCCGGTAATTACGAGAAAGAATAGTTGGGTCTTACATTACAATTTTTTTTCTTAAAGGAAAAAATTTAATGATTTTACTCACACTAAGACCGTTATACAACCAGGAGAAATTCCTTTTCATAATATATTACATAGCCGAGTAGTGTAGTAGAGCTGACACATGTTTCAAGATGAAAACATAATCAGCTGGAGAGATAATATGCTTTTTTTTGAGTTTATATCCTTTTAAAAAATATTTTTAACAGCACACGACCAACACGACCTACACTAATGTCCTTTCATCTAATCTCCCTCCATACCGCACGAGACAAATTTACTTCATGGTGCTTGTGCCAACGAAATGCCACTTTGTCCATTTTTCTAGCATTAACTTTAAAATCCAGTGAGGTTTACATGTATAAAAAAAGTCTTAATTCAGAAAGGCCACCTGTGAATGACTCACCCGCTGCTAACCAACCAATATAATATGGTTGATGCTTACTACATTGGACATTAGACTCCGAATTTTTTGTGCTCTGAACATAAACGTAGGTTTTTATTTTTTACAAAATTAATTTCCTTGAGGTATTCAATAACTATTAAATTCATTAGGAAACTTCCCTTCCCATTGTTTTGACCTTATAAAGCAATTACATGGTGTAACTTTCTACTAATCTGTTTTAAAATGCATTTAATTCAACAAATGTATCAATCATGATCTTTAACACAGTAAAAGATCAAGAAAGGGGCAATCAAAGAAATTATAATTTATTCTGAAACTTTTCAGCAAAAGTGTCAACTTCCATTGCTGTGAGCAAGGGAAAATGGGGTACTTGAGAAAACGCAAAGATAATCATATATCCTTCTTTTAAAAAAATCAAGACACCTCTAACTTTTGCTTTTTAGAAGGGACTATGTTGTGTAGTCAAAGGAACCCAGACCCTAACAATCTTCCCTGGCCTTCAAATTTGTTCAGCCCATATAAATATGTAGGCTTGGCTTCTCAAAGTTCGTATTCTCCTTTCACACAAACAAAAGTGGGGGAGGCTTCAGAGTATTCCAAATTCTGAGTGACAAGGGTTAGGGAATCTAAAATGATGTCATCATATTGCCAATTGCAGCAACAACAACAACAACAAAAAAAAAAATCAGTGGAACTTTCATTGCTTAGGTAGATTGCAATGCACCAGAAGCAGCTTGGAAGACAACCCGGTCCCTCTATCCCAGGCCTCAGGTAGTGTTGTTATCCAGCACCTGTTACAGTTCTTTTAATGAGACGGTAGTTGGCTCTTAAAAGAGCCTTTAGTTTATAGTGGAGATGGAATTAATTCACTTGCCCTTGGCTTTATGGTGACTCTCGGTCTTCTTGGGCAGCAGCACGGCCTGGATGTTGGGCAGGACACCACCCTGCGCGATGGTGACTTTGCCCAGCAGCTTGTTGAGCTCCTCGTCGTTGCGGATGGCCAGCTGCAGGTGACGCGGGATGATGCGCGTCTTCTTGTTGTCGCGGGCCGCGTTGCCCGCCAGCTCCAGGATCTCGGCCGTCAGGTACTCGAGCACGGCCGCCAGGTAGACCGGGGCGCCGGCGCCCACCCGCTCGGCGTAGTTACCTTTGCGGAGCAGCCGGTGCACGCGGCCCACGGGAAACTGCAGGCCGGCCCGAGAAGAGCGGGTCTTGGCCTTGGCGCGCGCCTTGCCGCCCTGCTTGCCGCGTCCAGACATGTTCAGCGATGCGTTTAGCTTGTTCAAAGCCACGGAAAGGACCCCCCCGACACTAAGTTTTTATAGGCCTTGCTGAGCGCGAAAAGGAAGCCGTCCGATTGGCCGAGAGTTTATTTTCATTTGGGCCTATGAAAACGCGAGCCTTGAGACCACGCGCTTCGATTGGATAAAAGCGTTTGTGTCGTCACAAAAGAAACCGACCAATCGGGAGAGGCCCTCCCCTCACCTTATTTGCATAGCACCTTGTACTAAAGGCGGTGCCCGCTCGGCTGGCGTCTCACCGTTGTAGAGCCAGAGCTGTGCAACATGCCTGAACCCGCCAAGTCCGCACCCGCCCCGAAGAAGGGCTCCAAGAAGGCCGTGACCAAGGCGCAGAAGAAGGACGGCAAGAAGCGCAAGCGCAGCCGCAAGGAGAGCTACTCGGTGTACGTGTACAAGGTGCTGAAGCAGGTGCACCCCGACACGGGCATCTCGTCCAAGGCCATGGGCATCATGAACTCGTTCGTCAACGACATCTTCGAGCGCATCGCCGGCGAGGCGTCCCGCCTGGCGCACTACAACAAGCGCTCGACCATCACGTCGCGGGAGATCCAGACGGCCGTGCGCCTGCTGCTGCCCGGGGAGCTGGCCAAGCACGCCGTGTCCGAGGGCACCAAGGCCGTCACCAAGTACACCAGCTCCAAGTAGATCCTTCTGCCTGCCCCGTCTGGTAGTGAACCCAAAGGCTCTTTTCAGAGCCACTTAAATTATTTAAAATAGCTGTGCATTTTCCTTTGTGTCTTTAAACCTTTGTATCAAGTTTCAAGAGGACATTTCGTACGGTCTCTAAGGCGTTAATGCCTAGCCTTTATGTCATGATTGATCTTTAGTGAGTCCTTACCTCGGCATCAGCAACCTCCAATGTCTCTGGCTTGAGTCTTAATGTTTTTTTTAGGGTGTGACAGTTAAACGTCCTGGCTAACGCAAATATTCCTACTATCAAAAATCCTTCATGCTTGCCAATGCCCTGGTTCTCCCGAGTTATTTTTGGCACTTGAGTGCCTGTCTTGACTTCATTCATTTCCGTGTCAGACGAAAGTCAAAACTGCAAAGGAAATTGGGAAAAGAATTGCAGAAAAGCGGAGGGGAATTGAATCGCGGACCAGATCGGGCAAAGCAAAACCGGGAATGCTTAGGCGGGAAAGCGGGAGGTTCTCGCTCCGCCCCTTTGCTTTTTCCAAACCGATAAAGGAAGTTACCTCCGGGCTGCTCAGAGGTTGCCCTGCCGTTTTTAACTAATGTTGCTAACCCAAGTGTTCTAGAATTGCAGCCACTCAGGTTCCTATCCACAAGCAGTAAAGATGAAACGCAAGAGAAGGAAAATCCAAGGCCAAATTTAGAAAAGTTTGTTTGGGGGAAGGAAGGGTTTGAAAAAAAAGGAGGGAAGCTAGCTTATGGGAGGAAGTCTCCTAAAAAGATTCCAGAGAAAGGCACAAAGGTGGGTGTGTGAGCATTCCTTTTTTATGGCTCAAGAATGTAGGCCACTAAAACGGGAGAAGGGTGAGGAGGTGATTGTCTTCTGGTCTCGGGTTGTCTAGATTGTCCAGCTGATCACATTCCTAATGCTGCTTAATTCTTAGCCCAGTGAAGTCATATTTTTCACGGCTGTGCCTTGCAGTAAGTTACGCAAGGTGTCCACCTTGCCTCTGTTGACAGAAAAAAATGAAATTCTAAAGGGAGTTCAGGCAGGTCTGAGCTACTCCAGCATTTTTTTTTTTTTACTCCAGTATTTTTTTTGTGTGCACCTTTTTTGTCCTGCATTTTTGCTTCTCCAGAATCACGTGAGATAATACATGGGCAGACACATGACAATAGTAATGCATTTACTAGCCAGAAAGCCAGTGAAGCCAACAGAACGTTAGTGGTATTTTTTTAGCCATCTTTTTCCTCTTTGTTCCATTATGGCATTCGCAAACTCCAGTATCTAATCACTGTCTTCCTGGATCTAAAAGTATCTAGGCAAGTGAACACACTCAAAGTAAGCCATAAGTGAGTTATTCCTATCTTGCCTTCGTTTTAATAATCTTCCATGACAGTAATAAACAAGATGCCAAAGCGCATTTAAAGTTGTTCGGATTGTCTGTTTATTTTGACACCCAAAATGCCTATTTAGTCTTGGTATTGGCTTAATTGCCTAAACCATTATCCATCCAGTTAACATTCAGCACCTACTATTGCACTGTAGCCAGTTGCTATAAACTGGGGTATGAATGGACAACCTCAATAAATCTTCTTAACCTTAATTTTCAGCAACAACTGGTAACCCTCTCTCCTAAGAGAGAGGTGCAGCCCACCTCGTTGCACCCTGGTATCACAGATGATCCCCCAAGCGCTGCCTGAAGTTAAGTCCTGAGCACCGCTGTGACCCAAAACTACAGACACGGCTTCTTTTTTCGCTTTGTTTTTCCAAAAGCTTAATTTTTTAAATTTACCCCATTGCTTGAGAGTTTGCCAAGGAACCGCAGGGAAGAAAGCAGTGAACACCTGGTGGGAGCGGGGCACCGGGTACAACTGCAATTTGATCCGTTTCGCCTCTGGTTAGTTTCACCTCTGATCAGTTTCACCAGCCAGTCCTGGAAGAATCCCTCCCGGAAGTCCCCCGCAGGCCTGGGAGGCTGTGCAGGCAGAACATAGGCCTGCAAACCCCAAAGAGCCGGGGAAGGTTCTTCCCCAGGACCCGGGCGCCTCCCACCACCTCAAGGATTCTGCCCCCCACGTCTGGGGAAGGCCCCTGGAGGTCCTGGGAGAGAGCGCAGTCTTGTCAAAAGGCTCTAAAGAGCGTCTCCCCCAGCTCGTGGGAAAGAGGGTCCCTGTCCTCCAGAGCCACGTGACTTCGATGAACTAGAAGGTAGAGGTGGGTGCAGGGGCCCTCAGATGGTGGTTCACCAGGCCGTTGGCGGCGCCCTTCGTGTATTAATTGACGGATCTGGGAACTCATAGTTGACTGCAGTGAGAATTTAAACTCAAAAAATTGGTTGGGGGGCGGGGGAGTGGGGAGACTGGAGAGACAGCACAGCAGCTAGGGTACTCGCCTTGCACGAAGCCATCTCTGTTCTATCCTCCCGCACATCGCCCAACTGCTACAGTGTTGCCCAAAAGGTTAAAAAAAAATCGGATTGGGAAGTTAGGTGCTGGGGGAGGGAGAATGGTGAAGAGTGTGGTATTAGAACCACATGCATGAAACCCTCTCACTAAGTCACCGTGCCTCAAATAAAAAAAATATATATACATATATGTGTATGTGTGTATGTTGCTCTGTAGAAGTTAAACTAGTCCTACTTTGAACTTAAACTGCTTTTGTTTGATGCTTTATCGTATCAAAATAGTTTGTGTATTTAAACTACTAGTCCTATCTTTAACTCATAATTGCCACTAGATTATGTTTTATTAATTATATGCCCCAAAGCTCACCCCACCCCCCAAAAGAAACTCAAATCCATCCTCCTTCAATGAAGGATCTAAATAAGTATTTTAAAGGGGTGAGGGCGAAGCAGTAGTACAGCCGCTCAGCGGTCAGCGTGGGTGCGACTCTAGTTTTCTCACACTCTAGTGGCCTGGGAAAGGTCAGGCTTCTCTTGTGGTAAGTCAGGACTCTCAAGATCTTCCACTGTATTGCCAGTGGGTGCGAGATGATTCCGTGGGCGAGTGCAAAGGTGGGCGCAGAGATTTACTCTTTGACAAGGCCCTGATCATCCAGGGTCTTCACCAGCTGCGGGCAGTCCTTGGTATCTCGGGTCCTCTCCCAACAAAACCACGCAGACATTTTCCAAAATGCCCCTCTAGGGGGCGGTCTAATGCTGGTGGAAAAGGTTTAGGATTTCGAGTTATAGGAAAGCAGAGATAAAGATGTGTCACAAGAGATACATGTCAAGTGTCACCACTTGTCGGCCCCATGGTGTAATGGTTAGCACTCTGGACTTTGAATCCAGCGATCCGAGTTCAAATCTCGGTGGGACCTCTACAAGTATATTTTTTGGTGTTTTTTTTTTTATTTTGTCCTAGCGATCCCCTGCCCTAAAGAAAATCTCCCCATTTCCCTCGTACACATGCTCACACTTAATACTCATTTTCTGCTGACAAATTGGTTCCGCCCTACCGGCTGCCCTCATGTAGGGAGAGTTCATTCTCTGCTCAGTCCTCGAATAAGTAGTAGCTGAAGACGTTTCCTTCGCTGATTCCCTGGATCTAGGCTGTGCAGGAAGCAAGTCTGTTTCCACGGCAGCCGCAAGTCCCAGCCCCGGCCCACCCACCACTTGTTTTAATAAGCCGTAAGCCAGCAAGCTCACGTTGAAAAGCATCTCTTAGGAGGCTTGTTTGTGTCTCCTCCAGGTTTTGGCAGTTGGAATCCCAAGTGAAAGAGGTTTACGCCCTTCTCCTTATGCATCCTAAACCCTCCCCCATACCCCCCAGTCCCCGTGCACACCCCCAACCTTCCCCACAACCAACAAATTGGCTTTAACCATCCTCCACCCGTTCTAGGCAGGGAGAAACTCCCAGCCCAGCTTTTGCAAAAAAAAAGAACCGACTTAATGACCCAGTACAGCCCCATCTGCAGAATATCCTGCTGCACGGGAATTTGCCTGTGTGTGTGTGTGTGTGTGTGTGTGTGTGTGTGTGTGTCGTTTGGTTTGGTGTGTGTGTGTGTGTCGTTTGGTTTGCTTTGGTCCGATTCGTATGTGTGTGTGTTTGTGTGTGTGTGTGTGTGTGTCGTTTGGTTTGCTTTGGTCCGATTCGGTTCAGCGCCGTCCGGGTGTGTGTGTGTGTGTGTGTGTGTGTGTGTGTGTGTGTGTTTGTGTCGTTTGGTTTGGTGTGTGTGTGTGTGTCGTTTGGTTTGCTTTGGTCCGATCCGGGTGTGTGTGTGTGTGTGTGTTTGTGTCGTTTGGTTTGGTGTGTGTGTGTGTGTGTCGTTTGGTTTGCTTTGGTCCGATCCGGGTGTGTGTGTGTGTGTGTGTGTGTGTGTGTGTGTGTGTGTGTGTTTGTGTCGTTTGGTTTGGTTTGGTGTGTGTGTGTGTGTGTGTGTTTGTGTCGTTTGGTTTGCTTTGGTCCGATTCGGGTTTTGCGCTTTCTCGCTGCGGCCACGAGGGGGCGAGCCTGCCTGGTCCAGCCCCGCCGGGTTGGAACTGGAGTCGGGCGAAGTGGCCTCCGTTGGGTTCTTGGAACCGTTTCAACCAGGCGGGCAGCGTCGTGCTCGGGAAGGCGAGTCCGGGAACGCCCCCTGCAGCGAGGCCGAACTCCCCTGTGCCACACGGGGGCCGGGACTCCCGGGACAGCACGAGGAGGTGCGGCCACGCATGAAAGCGACTCGTTTGGCGGCTGTCCGTGAAGTGCGGGCCGCGGTGTAGACCAGCCCGGCGGGAGCGGGGTCTCTGGGCTGGGCCCTTCTCGGAGCCCCCGGAGCGCGTGCTGTCTCTGTTGGGGTCGGGCACCGGGGGGCGTGGGGAGCCTCGGGGCCGTCGTCCGAGCATCTTTCTTCCCGTTGGGCGACCGTAAGGACCACGGTCTTGAACGCCGCCCCCCAAGTCCCGGGTTCCCTGGAGAGAAAAAGGCGGGGGCGGCTGGGTGCAGGGGAGGGGACTCTGGATGTCGGGGGTCGGTGTCCCCTGCAGCAGGGAACTGCGGGCTGTGATCACTGCACCAGAGAACGTCGGGGTGTGCTTGCATGGTCGTGAGAGGGAGACCGAACTATGTCATCACGCGATTTAGGAATCGCAGTAATAGCGAGGGCCCCATGGTGTAATGGTTAGCACTCTGGACTCTGAATCCAGCGATCCGAGTTCAAATCTCGGTGGGACCTAAGGCTGATTCTTTTTAACTAACCATCACCAGGGATAACTTCCCATTCTGTCCCTGGAAATTTTCATCCCCAGAAATATGTGAGGAAAAACTCATGTTCCTTTTACCAAATTTCAGTAACATTTTATTCTATGAGGTGTTAAGTGTTTTCACAACTACCTTTTGTTGGTTAAGAACAAGGCAAAAAAACTACTAGAAAAATATTCAAAATACAGGCGTCTAAGCACTAGAAAGAAGATCCTATCTCAATTTTTATATCTTTCTGATCAGAAGAATGTCATAGTTAACTAATCAGACTTTAAACATAAATATAAAATAATTTTGGGATAAAGGTTTTGTACGGTTGGGTCGGACGCTGAGGCAGTGAGGGGGCAACAGCACCCCCTTAACTGCTGGAAAACTTCACCCGGGACTGAATTTCTGGAATTGTCACAATGAGTGCACTATATCCAGTAAAACGGGATCTGATAACCAAAAACGGACCGAGAAGACCAAACGAAACGGTGCCCAGTTCTTGGCACACACAAACAACCCTGGTTTTGTTCCAACCCTAAGTCCTACAGGTTTGTGCCCACAGCACAACTTTGTGGCCTCTGCAGTGACCTTAAACTCTTCAGCTGAACCCTATTTTCCGCTCATTTCATTGACCTTCTGCCCTACCTTACAAGTTTGTGGCAGAGATAGAAGTTACTTTAAAGATCACCACAATCACGACCATCCTGTTGTTCATCGATTGCCTCGAGCAGGCCCCAGTAACGTCTCCTTAGTCCTAGCCCTGAGATTTTTTAAAAAGTGCCATATTCAAGACTCTTTCAGGGTTAGGAGAATGAGACCCATCATTGTTACTGGTATTTGGCATATTGGGTACGCCACGGGGAGTTTGCCAGTCTCTTCTTTAAATATAAAAAAAAAAAATTCATGAAAATGTTTCAAATGTTACATCTGCCAGGTACATTTTGAAGGATGGTTTGGAGCAAGGCTTGGGGTCCCCAGATGCGCAGCGCGAGGCTTCAAATTCCCAGGAGACTAGTTTGTTGTTTATTTATTATTATTATTTTTAATTAAAATGGCATCACTATTTTCTCTATTGAAATTCTGTGCAGCTATCCATTGTTGAAAATGTTGTGTGGATGATTTTTTTTCCTTAATAAATACCTAAATTGGGGTGGGAGTGGTCGTGCAGCGGGTAGGGCATTTGCCTTGCAAGCGGCCACAAGGAACTCCCACACGGAAACCCCACCCCTACACACACCCCGCCCCCCCCCACCCCCCCCCACCCCCCCACACACACCCCAGCACTGCTAGGAGTAATTCCCGAGCCAGAGCCAGGAGTAACACCTCAGCATAGTCAACTGTGGCCCAAAAACAAAAAACAAACAAACAAACAAACAAAAAAAAGGTCAGGGGGACACACCAAATCTGCAGATCCAAGGCCCATGCAGTTCTCTGCACAAACACACCTGCACAGCCCGGCCCTTAGACGGGAGCACCTTCCCTTTGGGATGCCTGGTCCAAATCCACAGAGATGAAAAACTGCAAAGATGAAGTAGGATGAAAGTGAGCCTGTGGGTTTGGTTACAGAGATCGCCCCTGGGGTCACATGCCAGAGTCCCTCCTTCTCACTTCGCCCCACTTCCAGCCAGCTCCTTCCTGTTCCCCCAACATACAAAGCAAGAAGCCACTTTCTCAAGCTCCACACGGAGGAGGTTTCTGTTTGATGCGTTTTTTGTTTTGGTTGTGAAAAAGGAATGACTTGTTCCCAAGCCAATGTTTTTTTTTTTTTCAAGTTTATTGGTGGTGCTGGGTGAGCCCTGGAGGTGGGTCACACAAGAGAGGGGACAATGTCTACTTTATGAGGGTCACATGTTAAGTGACTCGGTGTGAAGATTTAAAGAGAACATAACGTCTTTTGTTAATGATTATGGTGACTGATGACATTCGAGGTTGGTTCATGCCCTTGCTGATCATGCTAGCGTCTAATTTTATGAGGAAGAAGAGGAGTAGGAAGAGCAGGAGGGGAGGGGGGGAGGGAGAAATGAGGATATCAGTATTTTTATGGAAAATCTCTGCTTTGCTACAGGGGCAGAAAATAGCCACTAAGTTCCCTGCTGGGATCAAAGAGGAACCCAGCACTGCACAACTGCAGACAGTTCCCTGGCCAGCCTCACTCTAAAATGTGCGAGAAGATCACATGTGCGTTGGCGTTCACAACTACATTTCACTTAAATGGAGACTCTAAATGGGCAGAGAAAGAAGGAAAGCCAAAATCCAGGAGATAAATACATGTTTCCGCCCAGTTTCGAACTGGGGACCTTTCGCGTGTCAGGCGAATGTGATAACCACTACACTACGGAAACACCAGCAGAAGCAAAGGCCCAAGTAGCAAAGGCATGTCCAGAAACTCCAGCTTTGGGAAATTTTTTGGTTTATTTCCTCCCATTCCTCTCTCTTTCCTTTTAATAAAACTAACAGTGTCACAACCTAGACAAACTAATATCTGTCTAGCAGAAATCAGGACATTTATAACCAGAATATTTGGTTAGAATGTCCAGAAATTCAGAATGTCCAGAAACTTATTCAAAGCAGTCAAAGGAACAAAAATGTCCAATAATCTATTCAGGATAGTCAAAGGAACAAGAAATTTCCCAAGTGATCATCTGCAGTCTTGTAAACAGCTTCACATTAAAAAAAAAATAAATAAAATAGTAAGAAGAACAAGAATGGAATTAAAAAAGAACAATCTAAAAACAAATTACAGGGTTGAATAAAATGGACCAAAGAAAAAAGCAACAACAAACTATACAGGTGATGCATACTGACTGACCTGCTGTCTAAAAGAAATCAGACGTGAAAGATGATGTCCTCTGGCCCAGATGTTAAAATTACAAGATAAACAAGAGTTCTTCCACCGTTAGAAGTTAGAATATTATTAGGCATGTGTGTAAGCAGCATTTTTTCAGTATAAAAAAAAAAAACAAGACAAACATTTCTAAATGGGTGACTGAAAAAAATATAAAATAAAATAAATAACTGATTGGAGAAATTGGCCTGTCTCAACTGTGGGACTAGGCTAAAGTAAGCTCTAAATTCAAAGGGCAGATTGTTGAGTAGCACAGATCATCAGGGAGTTCAGATTGGCAACGTTCAAAACATTAGCATCTGTTAAGTCATATACCTGAGAACGGGCTAATCCCCAAGAAATGAAGAACATTTCAGCTCGGTTAACAAAAAAAGTTAGGAGGATAGCTTTTTAAATGTACTATAGGTATAGAAATTCCTCCAAAGAAGACGAATGTGGCCAATTAAGTATATGAATGAACATCAAAACCACCATCACGCTTACTAGACTGTTAGCAAAATAATAAATACTGGACATGGACCGGTGAGGATACAGAGAAATGGAACCTTTGCATCCTGTTAACAGGAGCATAAGATAGAGCAGTCACTGAGAAAAATACATGGAGCTTCACTTCTTAAAAATCATAGAGCTACAATATACTTTAGTCCCACTGCGGGGTATTAATCCAACAGAACTAAAACCAGAACGCTGTGTACAGGGCTGACAAGAGCCAGACTCAGCAAACAACTCACATGGCCATCAAAGGGTGGTAACATGAAGAAAATGTTGTGCGGACATAAAATGGAGCAAAAATGGAAGGAAATTCTGCAACATGCAACAAGAGGGATGAACCATGAAGACACTATGCTCAGAGAAATGGAGTCACAGAGAGAAAATGGCCCGATGACCCACTTCTCTGAGCTCTCAACATTGGACACATTCGAGAAGTGGGGAGTGGGCCTGGCACAACTGGTTGCCTGCGAGGGGTGAGGAGGCAGAAGTCGGGAACTGATAATCAACGTGAAGTTCCCTGGAGCCCGAGGAACAGTCAGGTTCTGGGGATCTGCGGGGCCTTCTGTCCCGATTCACACTGCCCGGGGTAGCGCCCAGGTCCAGCCTGCAGCATCTTCACACCACTGGAGCCTTATCCCTCCCATCCCGGAATCTGATGCTCATCTTGGTTTCCTGAGCTGGGTTCTTCAGATCACTGCATCTCCTGTGGATGGGCTCCAGGCGCGCCCTGTAGAGCGCTAGGTCCAGGCCAGGGGACAGGGCTACAGCACAAGCCAGGCATGTGGAGGCCCAGCTACATGGTCCCTAATGACCCTGGTGTCCCCCAGCACTGAGCAGCTAGGAGTGGCCCCAGGGTTCCCAGAGCACTGTTTGGAAGACGGAAAAAAAAATCTTTAGGGCATTATTTTCTGGTTTAACTCCCACCATAACTCACCAGGGGTCTGGGAAAAGATTTTGTAACTCCACTCTTGACTTCGTCAGACCACGTTTGTCTGGCAGTGTCCTGGGTTTAATCTTTGCCTGGAAGTCACTTCTTAATTTTAACACCATTTTCCATCTAAAGCAGCCAGGAGTAACAGTCTCTCTCCTCCCTCCTTCCCTCCCTCCCTCTCTCCTTCTCTCTCTCTCTCTCTCTCTCTCTCTCTCTCTCTCTCTCTCTCTCTCTCTCTCTCTCTCTCTCTCTCTGCCCCCTTTTCCCCCCCCTAGCTTTCCTTTCAAACCTAGGGCTGGAGCAGTACCACAGGGAGTAGGGCATTTGCCTTGCACACAGCCAACCCAGGTTCAATCCCTCTGTCCCTCTCGGAGAGCCCGGAAAGCTACTGAGAGTATCTCACCCTCACGGCAAAGCCTAGCAAGCACCCCGTGGCATATTCAATATGCCAAAAACAGTAACAATAAGTCTCACAATGGAGATATTACTGGTGCCCGCTCAAGCAAATCGATAAACAACGGGAGGACGGACAGTGCTACAGTGCTTCCTTTGAAACCCAGCGAATTCTGGCTAATTAGTACATACAGTTATTTTAACTTAAATCTTAAATCTGTCATCTCACGTTACTATGAACACTCAAAAAGGCTGATAACACCTTCATCACTCTGTAAATCATATTTGCTAAATCACTTCATAGATTTTCTACATTGTGTGATTCTGTATGCAGTAGTGTTTCTCAGCCTTCTGCTTCCTCACTAAGGATCCCTTTTTTTCTTGGTTATGTTCTTCCTCCTCCAGAAAACCCTCATTTCCCATCTCGGTGGGAGATTTCTTTAAAATTCCTTATGACAACTTTTACCTCCCTTGGCTGAGTTCAGTAGGCAAACAACTAACACTTGGAATGGCTGGGGGTGCTTGGTGCTTGGTACGCTTAAGATTCTAGGGCTACACCTTAGTAGCTCTAGTAGGGATCACCACAGAGGACTCTGAAATGCCTTTTTAATAACTAGGGCAAATGGGAGGCAGGAACACATCCACACCAAACACAGGATTTTCCATTGTAAACAGCCGCTGGGTCTTGTGAGAGCGTGGCGTTCGGGGGCGCTGTCTTGCCGGGGTGGTTTAATATAAAGTCCCTCGGGTTCCAACCCTGTCTCCTCTGAAGCGTTAGTGGGTCTGGGCGGTGGTTTGAATTCGGCAGCCGAATGGTGGAAAGTTGAGACAGCACCTTTGGGGAAGCAGAAGCAGAGGGTGGCGTTAGCGGCATTCCCATGCTCATTTCCCTCCCTCTCGGTTCACACTTACTCCTACCCCGACTCACACTTCTTCTTCATCTTGATTCAGGATCAACTGGTTTCTCTGGCACACAGGGACTTTCAAGTAAGAGGAGCTCAAAGAAGGTGAGTTTTTTTTTTTGTGAGAGCTCAGAAAGAATGCTGTCTATCCTCTATCCTAATCCTCAGAATTCAATACAGTTCCCCCCAAACATGAATTCAGTGTTTCCTTTAAAGGGCAGTAAAAATGCATAGTGAGGGGAGAGAAATATAATCACCAAGATAGCCAAGTGTCTGAGGCATCGGACTGAAGAGCCAAGAGATACGTGCCCACGTGGGTTCAAACCCCATGCCCAGTAGCTTGGTTTTCCGTCTTGAGCCCACTTGGAAACAGTGCTCACTGAGAGGGTGCAAAGAAAGAAAGCCCTTGGGTTTTGGCTTCGGGCCTGAAGACATTGCTTTAGCAGGCAGCTGGTGGTGAGGGACAGCACACACACACACACACACACCCGTACTGGCTTTCATGCTTCAGGACTGTGAGGGACAGTACACACACACACACACACACACACACACACACACCCATGCTCCAGGACTGTGACTCACACATACACACACACAAACACACACAGTTCCCGGGAAGCCTTACTGTGGATGCAGGAAATAGCCCCAAGACACGCAAACAGGGTGTGTAGAATAGTGCCTGGTAAGTAGTAAGTGATCAACGAATATTAATTTCATCATCCCATAGCAGCCAGAGAGAGGGCACAGCAGGGAAGATGCTTGCCTTGTGCACGGCTGACCAAGGTTTGGTTCCTGGTACCCCGTATAGTCCCCTGAGCCATGCCAGGAGTGATCCTTGAGCACAGAGCCAGGAATAAGCCCTGAGCACAGCTAGGTGTACCCCCGAACCAAAAAGAAAAGAAAGAAAACCATTCTCTTGGAGCCAGAGTGATAGGACAGCAGTTGCAGGGTCTTCCTTGCAATGCGGCTGATCCGGGTTCGGTCCCTGGCACCCCATTTCTTCACCCTGGGGTGGACAGGGCGCAAGTCCAGCCCGACAGTCCCCGAGGGCCACAGGCGTGTTTGCCCACTGCAGTGGGTTGGTAGAGAGCAGGGCCAGACGGGGCGACCCGGGTGCCATCGCTGACCAGACCTCACCAGCACACCCAAAGTGGCCCACCAGGGGCATTTGATGGTTCCCATCCCCAAGACCCCAGATGGGAGTGATCTCTGATACTGGCGTGATGGGGGTGAGGTCTGAGGTCAGGAAAACGGTACACATGGAATTGGATCATGGCTGACTGTAAAGTTGGGTGCTGTGAATCACTTTGTAAATTACAGTACCTCAATTAAAAAATATTTTAAAAAATCACTCTCATAAATTCTCCAAAATGGTGGTCTTCCTAATTTCCATTACCTTCTAAGTCACCCTAGGGGGTAGAGAGATAGCAAGATTACAGGGCTTGCCTTGGGCATGGCTGGGATGACCCAGACCGCTCCTCCTGATTTTCTCTAATTTTTTTTTTTCACGGACCCCACCAAAAAAAGATGTTTTAAACATAAATTTGGAGGGGGACACACCTGGCAGTGCTCCGGGTTTATTCCTGTCCCTTGAGCGGATCTCCTAGTAATCTAAGTGCCAAGCCTCAGATGAGATTTTGTCCTTGAGTTAATCTCCTGGAACTTCCCCTGCAGGAGGGCTTTATCTCCGTTTTTGTTGTTATGACAATGTTCAGCCCCACCTATGTGTATACCCCCCCCCCATTCGTGGTTGCTATATAACTATGCTGTAAGGGGAGGAGATGGAACGAGGCTAGGGAACAGGGAAGAGAAAGGATGACGATGGGGAAGAGAGGAGAAATTATTATGCTGCAAGGGATGAGGTCACACTACGCTTGGGAGAAGAAATCACTATGCTGTAAGGGGAGAGATCGAACTCCACTGGGGAGGAGTAGCCAGGACAACGGGGGAAGGCTGTGGAGTCGAGGAGAAAGGTTTCAAGGCCCTGACAGAGAAAGCGGCTCAGAAAAGGCAATGAGGAGCAAGAGAAAATCCACCCACCTCCAGCCCAAAACAAACAGAACCAGGGGCCGAAAGAAAAACCAGTTTCCAATAAGAAGGGCAAGCAAATCGATGAACAACGGGAGGACAGTGACAGTGTCCTGCTGTGGAGGGTACTTCCTTTCGCCTGTTGAAATGTAAGCCTCGGGGCCAAAGAGAGAGTGCAGTGGGGAGAGCCTTGAATGCGGCCTCAGGTTTAAGGTCTGTGCTCCCGTTGTTCATGGACTTGCTTGCCCTTCTTATTGGAACCTTTTCTTTTATTGGCGGGTCAGAGGCAGAGCCTGGCAAATTCCCCGTGACTCCAAACACAGTAACAAGTGTCACAATGTTACTGGGCCCGCTAGAGCAAATCGCTCAGACATCAGTTGGAGCCAGAATGCGAAAGGAGCCGAGGAGACTGGGGGTCTCTGCTGCCTGCCCTCTGTGGGAGCATTTGGTGACATCATAAAAGCAGGCCCAGGAGAGCGGGTGGGGAGAGACAGCAGGGAGGGCGCTTGCCTGGCATGCAGGTGAGCAGGGTCCAATCCCTGCTTCGTATACGGTCCACAGAGCCCCGCCAGGAGCGATCCCTGAGTGAGACCTGAGCACAGGCCCCAAACCAGACGGACATGAAAGCAGGCTCTGTTAGCAACGAACCTTCCTATGCTACCTCAGAGGGGTCCGGACTCTTCAGTATTCAATCCAAAGCCAGGTGTGTCCCTGTTTTCGGATCCAGGAGTAGGAAGAAACCCCACACTCTGGAAGGAAGATCAGAGGGGACTAGAGGAGGCGGCAGATTCTCCACCTGTCACTGTCCGCCTGCCCTGCCTCACTGTGCCTCGCTGCTCTCTAGCAGAGATGGCGGCTTCCCTCCATCTGCTTCCACTGGCCGCCTCCACTGCCGAGAAGAGCTCCTGGCACGCAGCCACCTCCCTCGAAGGCTGCAGTTAGTGCCCTGATAAGTGCAAGTGACAAGGCACAAGTGGAACGTTCAACACCGAAATGGCCCAGCGGCCAGCTCGCCTCTCCCGCAGTGACAGACTCGGAACTGTCACCTCCATCCGGGTCATCGGAGTGACGCTACTAGGAGGACTAAAAAGGCCCCTGTGGACACGAGAGTCTCACTTGAGAGCTCGGGGGATGGGAAGGGCAGACGCCGCAGAGTACTGGGTCCAGGCCAATGGGATGAGCACTCCTTAGTCCCCTGAACACCACAAGAGCGACCCCCCCACAAGCCCTGAACCCTCCTGGGTGTGGCCCAAAAATCCAAAAATACTTTAAATTTTTAAAATTTTTTTTTCCTGGGGCTGGAGAAATGGCACAGCGGGTAGGGCGTTTGCCTTGCACACGGCCGACCCGGGTTTGATTCCCAGCATCTCATATGGCCCCCCAAGCACTGTCAGGAGTGATTCCTGAGTGTAGAGCCAGGAGTAAACCCTGAGCATCAGCTGGGTGTGACCCAAAAAGCAAAAAAAAAAAAATTTCCTTTTTTTTTTTTTTAAATAAAATGAAATTACAAAGCAGGGTGGGTGCAGGCAAGGCTAGCACCTGTCTCTCTCTCCAGACCCTTGTCCACCTTTTTGAGGGGGTCCCCCCCACAGCACTGGAGGAGTGGAGCACCAGGACAGGGACGCACCCCCCACTCTGAACCACCTCCCAGGCCCCCACCATGTGCTTCCAAGGAAGCGACTTCCACTCCTTTCCCGTTCCTGTAGGTTTAACCACATGCAGGCTGACCACAGCCCTGGAGGCGCAGAGCAGCAGGCAAAGCTCAGGCTGGTTCAGGGACCGAGAAGGGCTGCAGTTCGAATCCCCGCTCCCTCATACCGCTCATTCACCTGGTCCAGAATCATCCATCACCCAGGTCTGCTCAGAGCAGGTCGCCTCGTGGGCCCTACCTGGAGCTCACGGGTGTCCCTCCCTCGCAGTTGCGCCCAGAAATGGTCACTTCGAGCTGTGCACGTGGCCTGGCCGCCTTGGATCCTGGGGGAGTCCGGATCTGTGCCCAGGGCCATCGACAACTGGGAACCTGTTGCCTTCATTACAAGACACTCAGGGCGCGGCGCCAGCACCCAAGAGCCTCCCAGTCGCCCTGACACCTGCGGATTCTGCCCTCAGCGGCTTCTGAGTAAGACTGAGCACCGGGCAGAGTCGGGGGAATGCAGATTCAGACCTAAGTTTCTTGACATTTCCCTGTGTTCCACGGGTGTCGGGTTGTAGACTGAGAGCTCTGGGCCTCCTCGACCTGCCTGAAAACAGGTACTGACTGGAGAAGGAAGGGAAGGAGGAAAGGAAAAAGGAGAGAGGAAGAAAGGAAATGAATGCAGAGGCCTATGGAGAGTTTTTTCTGAAAGTCTTGCCCTTTAAGAGAGTATCTCTTATGATAAGAATGTTTATAAGCCAGTGGCGTTCATGCACAATTCAATCTGCTTAATCAGTGGCTGAATAAATGGCAGTACTCCTACATAAAAAAATAAAGAATGTTTATAAGCCACATATGAAAGAAAACAATAAGGAGCTGATAATTGAGGTAATTTACAACTCCCCTGGATTCTTCCAAGTCTCTTTTTATTTTGCTTTTTGGGTCACACTCAGCGATGCTCAGGGTCCTGGCTCTGCACTCAGGAATTACTCCTGGCGGAGCTCAGGAGACCATATGAGATGCTGGGAATCAAATCCGGGTCGGCTGTGCAAGGCAAACGCCCTACCTGCTGTACTATCTCTCCAGCCTCTCTTCCAAGTCTCTTAACTGATTTTATCGCTTGGGTCATTTCCCTCGCCCCTAACATAGGCACTGTCTGCAGTTTAACTCTAGGGCAACGTCGCTAAGCTAGAAGTTTTGTGTTCTACCTTCCTTCTTAGAACTACAACCTAACATTGTACTGTCCAACATAGTAGCCACCAGCTAAGGATATTAACAAAATTCAGTAAGACAAAAACTCAGTAGACTGTGTCTAGCAGTCATGTGGCTAGAGACTTCTGTGCTGCATCACCCAGAGGAGGTCATTGCCATTGTTCTAGAAAGCCCCATGAGACAGCATTCAGTTAAACATGCACATCGAAACCCCCCACCCAAGACTTACAGGCTTCCTCAGACTTACCTGCATAAACACTAGGAAAGGCACCAGGCATCCCCAGCGAGCTCCCTCGGCCTTACGTTTTTTTATAATCCTGTTGAGAATTCTCTCTCCTCCATCTTCTCATCTGGGAAAACAATTTATTTTTTTAATTGTTAAATACATACGTGACACCCTCCCCCCAGGAAACGGACTAAAAGTGATTCAGTAATTAATTCTGAGCGTCCCTTCTCTTTTATTTACTTTCAGTGCAGTCTTTTGCTGAGTGTGGTTTCTTGGTGAATGTGAGCTCCAGGGACCTTCTGCAGGCTGGGAACTGAGGTCAGCGCTACCTCTCCAACCCATGGACATTTTTCATTTTTAACACTCCAGCAAGGGCCAGGGGCGAGGACAGGATTGCAGGTGCTTGCCTGGAACTGTATACGGTCCCTGAAAACTGCCATGAAGGACCCCTAAACACAGAGCCAGGAGGTCCCTGAGTCCCTCCATGTGAAGTTCCCCCTAAAAAACAAAGAACAGAAGCATTCTACTCTAAGGTTGCCTTCATTCCAACTCTGGAGGAATCTCACATCTCTCCACCCTGGGGCTGCCCATGTCATTCTCTCTTGGGGGGGTGGTACCCCGCTGTGCTCAGGCGCTACTCTGGGTCTATGTCTTGACCCAGTGTGGCACTTGGAGGACCCTCTGTAGTACCCCAGCGACAGTCACAAGGCCACAGGCAAGGCAAGTGCTTCATCCCCTGTACTATCGCTCTGGCTCCTAATTTATCTGCTTTCACGGGGCAATATAAAAGTAAAATGAGAAACTAGCAGAAGCACGTGTCAAAGCATTTTGACATGTGCTATAGATCAACGCCAACTCTTGATTCTGCAGTTTACTACCCATCTATCACTGAACACAGTATCACGTTAAATTCCCCAAGCCTCAGATTCACCGCTGAAAAAAGTAGCACTTTTCACACGAAGAAGTGAAGATTTAAATAGCAGCATCTCTAAGGTGAGTTAGCAGTAACTTACACATAATTCAGGAACTAGCAGTCATCGCAACAGGACCAAGATCACTTGCAGGATCCTCCCAAGTCATTAGAACTATTGAGAGCACCATCGACAATTTACACAACCGGCTAATGGAAACACATTTGAATTGAAGTCTAGCATTTTAAGTTCCTGGTCACTGTCACTGTCACTGTCCTCCCGTTGTTCATCGATTTGCTTGAGCAGACCCAGTAACATGGTGAGACTTGTTACTGTGTTTGGCATGTCAAATACGACAAGGGTAGCTTGCCAGGCTTTGCCCTACAGGCAAGATACTCTCCGTAGCTTGTCAGGCTCTCCAAGTGGGATGGAGGAATCCACCTTGGGTCCACCGGGTCAGCCGTGTGCAAGGCAAATGCCCTACTCGCTGTGCCATCCTGGTAGTGTTTAAAAAATGAAAAAAATTAAAATGAAAGGCTCTTAAGAGGCCAGAGGACAGTATAGTAAGTAGGTGCTTGGCTTGCTCTCTGCCAACCGGGTTCGAGCCCCAACACCCCATGTGGTCTGCAGCCTCATCAGGAGTGCTCCCTGAGCACCAGGGGTGCGGCCCATCAGCCAAAAAAAAAAAAATCCTTAAGAACTTATGAATGTTCTTGCTGTTAAACTCTGGTGAGGAAAAAGAAATATTTTGTTGAAAATAAGCTGAATCACCGCCAGGAATAATTCCTGAGTGCAGAACCAGGAGTAACCCCTGAGCACCAACGGGTGCGACCCAAAAAAAAAAAAAAAAGCTGAATCCCTGAAATCTGATGATTGCAAGCTCCATTTACTCCCTCCCGTTCATTCCTCGAAGTTTCAGGGGATCCAGTGCCCGCTGGCCGACTTTACTGGGAGGAGCACACGCACGAAGGACGAGAAAGGAGAGCCGGTCTGGGGACTGCACGGCCCCCTCACACCGCTCATCCACCTGGTCCAGAATCATCCCATCATCCAGGGCTGCTCGGAGCAGGTCGCCTCGTGGGTCCCGCCGGGAGCTCACGGGTGTCCCTCCCTCACAGACGCGCCCAGAAACGGTCACTTCGAGCCGTGCCCGCGGCCCGGCCGCCTGGGATCCTGGGGGCGTCCGGGTCTGTGCCCAGGGCCACCGACGCCCGGTCGCCTGTTTCCTTCCTTCTAAAAGACACTCGGGGCGCGACGTCAGCGCCCAAGAGCCTCCCACTCGGCCTGACGCCCGCGGATTCTGCCCTCAGCGTCTTCTGAGCAAGACTGAGCACGGGGCGGAGGAAATGCAGACCTAGATCTAAGTTTCTCGACGTTTCCCTGAGTTCCACCTGCGTCGGGTTGTAGGCTGAGAGCTCTGGGCCTCCTCGACCTGCCTGAAAACAGGTGCTGAGTGGCCACAGAGCGCGACACGGCCGAGGACAGGGTCCTGGGCTCACAGTCACATCTCGGTAGTCGGCCTGAAGTCGGGACGGGCAGTTTCTTGCCTCCCAACGTCACTTCCTGGTTCGCTCTAGGAACCTGGGAGGGCTTCTCGTCTCTGTGATTAGTTCTCAGCTCTTAAAGCGCCGCGAGCTTTAAAATGCGTTGGAGGGTTTTGAGTTTAGGTTTTGGATTTTACGACTAATACTGACATATATTCGGTCAGAAGTGCAAAATAGTACAAAACTATGTCCTCTTCAATCTGTTGCGCCAATTGTGACTACATTTTCTATGTTGATTTGATTTTTTTCTTCTTTCTTCGTGTGTTATATTCTTTTCCTTACACATTTGAAAGTTGTTGGAGAGTATTTTTAGAGATCATATTCTCTTGCAACATATTTTAGTATTCCGAGTAACATTTTCTTTTTGCGATGGATAATAGTTGCCATGTTGGAAAGTAATAGACCAATGACTATTAAAATGACACCGTTCCTTATAATCACTGAACAGCTTGAGAGTCCATGTTCAAACCTCTTTGAAGATCATAACACTGAAGAAAGACACTTTTTGCTCATACATATGAAAAAAACCAAGGCTATCGCCTTCGCCTGCTTCTCTGGGTTGAAAAACTCTACACTTCCTGAAAGTGGTTGTATCAAACCATTTGTTGGTCAGCTCAGTTCACTTCAAAATAAAGCCTGATTTTGATAGCGCAAAATGCTGAAAATATACAAAAAAAAAAAAGAGTGCCAATGAGAAACCGAATACAACCCTGAATTGCAATACGTGTATGTAACTGAAGAAACAGTAAGAAGCCAAGGGCAGTTTATATGGGAGGTTAGGGGACTGAAGAGAGAGATGAAAACTTCATGAAAATCTCTTTGTATTCTTATACAGGAAAAAGCAGAGTGGGGAATAGTGAGTGATATGAAATGTAGGTTATCAAGAAATCACAAAAACATTTTCCCTCCAACAAACTATTTCTCGCAGAAAACCAACAACAATTAAAAAAATTAAAATAAAAAAAAAAAAACTCCGAACACAAAAACCTGCCTTTTGTTTGGGCTTTTTCTTGCGAAAGAGGCGTGGGGTCGGCTAAGATTCCCAGACAGCCCGCTAAGAAGTTAGCTTGAGAGAAAGTAGAAAGGGAAAGTTCAAGCCAAAGGCTTTCTCCGTGCGGTTCAAACTCTCGGCTTGGAGGACAAAGAAAATAAAAGAACCACGTTGGCCCGTACGGGGATCGAACCCGCGACCTTGGCGTTATTAGCACCACGCTCTAACCAACTGAGCTAACCGGCCGGGATACCACGGCCAGCGCTCCGAATTGTAAACGACTCAAAACAAACTTTTTTTCCCCTTTCTTTTTTGGTTGTTTGGTCTAAGAAAGTGGAACCGTGCTCAGGCCTGTCACCATCTTTCCGCGTCGGCAGGGGGAGGGAAATTTTCATATTCGGCCTCGAAACACTTTTCTTGTCCCGGGCAAAGTCGTCCGAGTCGCCCCGGCGGGCGCGGTCGAGTCAGGCCCGCGGGGCTCGCTGGGGTTCGCGGCCGCCGCGCTGCCCCCGAGGAATTGACGCGCGCTCCGAGCTCGGACACCGCTGCGGGCAGGCCAGTTCCTTCCGGGACGCTTCGCGACCCGGAACCTGCCACCTGTCGCCATCTGGCTTGGGGGATTGGGGGGCTTTGGGGGGAGCGGGGGGCGTTGCAACGAGACCCTGAATCCATCCATTGTCCACACGGTCCCCGGCGCTGCAGAGCGGCCGTTGGACACCAGGGGGCGCCCGGGAGCCGCTCTGGGCTCCGCGGAGGCGGGGCCGCTCCTGGGCTCCCAAAGCAGAGACCACGGGTGACGTCACCAGACCGGTCCCGAATTGGGGCCGTTTTCTGCACTGGGAACGCCTCAAACGCTAAGTTAGGCGCAGGGATGTTTTTAGAGGCCAGTTGACTTGTTTGTATGTCAAAGCCTTCTTGAAGCTCCTTTATTCACAAGTAAATAGTCTTCTCTTGCGTGCCAGAGTGTTGGGTACTTGTTATTCACTTTTTTTCCCCCCACTCTAGAAATGTGAATTAAATTCTGTGACAAGCCAATTTTGCTATTTCCCTCCTAACTTTTCATTTCAGTTCTTTGCCTCTATTATCAGGGTCCCCGCCCTCTCCTCTCCCCAACCGTTTGGTAGCAACATTTTTGCACATCTTTAGAAGTAGGTATCTTCGTGTTGTTGGGGGGCCGGGGGGGATTGCGAACTCTTGAGATCAGAATGTTACTGTCATTCTTGTTTGACTGGAGCGCTGGCTTTGGTCCGTGATTTCTGAAGGCCTGGGCCGCGTTCAGACTTGTTTTGAAGTTTAGGAATCAAGATAGGCCTCCGGCTTCTGCTCTGGCCATAGGTCATTCTCCCTGGGGAGCAATACGCCGAGAAGGCTCTTAGAATGCGCAGCCAAGAGAGATCGCGGGAAGCGCTATTTATTGGCAAGAGGTGGAGGCTGCCCCCGATGAGATCATCTGATCCCGAAATGGCCCTTTGCAGCTGCCACCCGGACGAAGATCCCTTTGAGCAAGGTACAGCTGGGGAGATGCCCGAGCCCTGTGTCAGATACGAACCCATCCTTTGAATAGGGGCCCTCCCTGCAATCACAGAGCGCCGAGGTTGTTTCTACAAAGCGAGGACGAGCAGAAAGTCAACTCCTGCTTCCTTAATGATTGAACGTAAGTGCCGCCCTCGCGGGAGGGATCTGTCCGTGGAGGAACCTTTTCCTGGAGGAAATAGTCTGCAGTTCTTGTGTTTATCGTTCCAGAAGGACATCTGCACTTGATTGACACCAAATGTCTGTTAAAACCTAAGGAACCGACTAGTGGGATCATTGACAACTGAGAAATGGGACATTCTCTCTAAATAATTATGAATCCAAAGGCCCCAGCAGCTTGGCTCCGTGGCTTAGCTGGTTAAAGCGCCTGTCTAGTAAACAGGAGATCCTGGGTTCGAATCCCAGCGGGGCCTCTACTGATTTGTGCTTTTCATTATATCTGCCGCGGAAGGAGAAAAATAATGCGAACGCAGATTATTTATTAGGACCAAGATGCTGTTGCTCTACTCTCAGTCCTACTTTGTCTTACCATTTGAGATCAATGTACATCAAATAATTGCATTTAAGCACATCTTAAATATCATGTGATTTTTCTTCTCTTTCTAATGAAGGAATACTGCTGTTTATTCAGCCACTAATTAAACCTGTGGATTTTCTTGATTACTAAAATTAATTTGTGTTTACAATCTCAGGGTCCTCAGTACACTTGAAATAAAATCAGCACTCAAACTCTTTGTTACACTGCACCATTAGTGGTCATGAGTTCTCATTTGAAAGTCATATGTATCATATTTATCAATAATCTTCTTTAAGGTACACCCGCCCCTCTCGGAGAGCCCGGCAAGCTACCGAGAGTATCTCGCCCGCACGGCAGAGCCTGGCAAGCTCCCCGTGATGTATTCGATATGCCAAACACAGTAACAACAAAATCTCCAATGGAGACAATAACTAATACACTAGAAAAACTGACCCATGGTTATGGTGGTGAGTTAAAATTCTTGAATCTTTCTGCTCCTTACCACACTTTCTAGTAAACCTGCAATTTCCCTATGCACTCTTGGTCTTTCTTCTATTCTAAAGTGAAGTTTTAGGTTTTTTTTTCTAAAGAGCTTTTAAAAAAAACTAAACTTTAAGTGTTAGATTATCTGTTTCTACTTTTTAAATAATCTGAACTCTACATCACTCCTGAAATTTTCAAAAAGAGGAAAAAAATTGATGGATCCTCAAAGAAGAATGGTTAGTGACAAAGTAAAGTATCTAACAAAAGCCTGGAAGCTAGTGAGATCTTGGATTCTTTTCTAAACAGATTTTTTTTACATGAAAGTTCTAAGAAAGACATCAGATCTGGAAAGCTAAACTAGCTCCCTTT